AAAAAATTGGAACGAAAAAAGGATAAAAGAATAATTTTTGACAGCTTTGGGAGACTATGGTATTTCGAGTATATCTTACTCATCCGAGCCCGGATTTAAGTGATTAAAGATGATATGGAAATCTAGCAAATGACCCTATAACTTTTAAGTTTTGAGTTTCTATAAATTCAGGCTGAATCTAAGCTAAAACGGACGTCAAAGGTGAAAAAGTGATGCTGGACAACAAAGGAGAATATACAAATCATGATCGCACGAAAATAAAAGTTCAAGTTTACTTACTTTACGGTTTTCACTTGTAGTGGCCTCAGAAATTGTACCAAGATAAGGAGCCACGTGTCCGGTAGCTTCAAGCTTATTATCCTTAAACCGGAACAAAGTCGGTCCTGATTTATGCTCGATCATATTTTTTAACAACCTTGCTTCCGACATTCTCTTTAATTTATTCTACAACATGAGAAACACTTATTTTATAATCTAAACTCAAAAAATTAATTTATATATTTAATTATTTTATATATTTAATTATTTACTCATTAAATACCTTCCATGTTTCTTTCTCAAAAAACGTGCACAAAAAATACCACTGATCTAGACGATGTATAAAGTTCATCGGGATTGGGAGACGACCTTGCTTCTTATATAATGTGTGGCTGTACAAGTGTTAAGACTTTAGTTTAAAGTCGATCTCTGTCCATATGTCCTATCCACGAAATTAAGCACATAAGTTTGGTATCCCCCTAGTTATAAGCATTGGCAATAAACTTTTCTGTTTTCAATCAGGATATAACCTAAACCCTAAACAAAATAAATAAACAACCTAATAAGAAAATCAAGAAACAAAAAAACATCTGGAGTAGTGAGAAATTGAGAGCAAAATCAAATAAGTAAATAAGAAGGAAAACACCTGAAGTGGTGAGAAACTGAGAGCAATATCAGATTGAGTTATCAGCCGTCGTGGGCATAAGACGCCAATGGTGATGACCGGTGGTTGGGCAACGACAGAATCACATAAACAGGTCAACAGGTGGGAAAATGATAGCCGATGTGCCTTAAGTGAGCCGATAGGGCATTAGGATAGTCAATGAGACGAGAGATTGAGAGCAAGGGAGAAGAGAGATTGAGAGCTAAGGTCGTGTGATAGTGAAAAAGAGAGGAGGATTTTTTTTGAAAAAATTCAAAGCCAAACCTTCTCAAGCCTATATATGTGTTGGGCTTGATGCCCCTAGGGCTTTGCTGCCCTGAGCGGTGACCCATTTCGCCCAGCATATGGGTCGGCCTTGGTACCAATGTCGATTGTCAACCTTAAAAGCATCAATTTATTTACCTTAGGCAACATAAAAACAAGAATATATGTTGCCTAAGTAAATTGTGATAAATTTACCTTTTTAGCTTAGGCAACATAGACAAAAGAACCTATGTTGTCTAAGTAAATCGTGTGGATTTACCTACGTTACCTTAGGCAACATAGAAACAAGAATATATGTTGACTAAGTAAACTTTGACGGATTTCAGAAAAAAAATATGAACGACCAACATTAAACTAAGGCAACTTAGGCTAATATGTGGCCTAAGATACATGCAGGCAACATAGTACATATATATGTTGCCTAAGTTCACACTTAGGCAATATAGAACCATACATTGCCTAAGAGGAAACGTAGGCAACATATAATAGCCTTTGTTGTCTTAGCGTATTTAAGCAACATAAGCAAGTTACATTTATTGTCTAAGACAACATCTGGTGTAGTGTATAACTCTAAGTCATGATATATCATGACAAACTTAGAGAAATGTGGGGTGTGACAATCTACAACATAAAATATTAAATATGTCATACGATACACAACCAATGTGGATCAAAAATTTGAAGCCCCCGAACGTATATAGGCCGAAGCCCATTCTTAGTTGTTAGCCCGTTAATGTAAAATGAGAGTCCTTCCCATAACCAAATATCAAGTACGAATCTTAGATACCGGTTTCATGTCAGCATAACTTCTTTAATCATAGAACCGCTTCATGTAACTGTTAACTAATCCCCTATACAATATCTTAACAAGTCGAGAGAAATAGCATTTTAAAGTCAACTTACAAATAAAAAGCAAAAACGACAAGTAAACAACTCTTTCAACTTTCTTGTTATGCTTGTATTATGTTTCTAAACCAATTTAGGGGCCGTTTACCTAAAAACTTATTCGATAAGTGTTTATCGGTAAAATTCAACATCATTGTTTACTTACCGAGTAAGATTTTATTCACCAAAACGCATCGTATGCAACAATTTATCCCGGTAAGCGCTAACCATGATAAGAGTCGTCTCTCTCACTTACCGGGTAAGAATCTCGATTCTTGCATTCGCTCTTACCAGGTAAGATTCTTAGTCATTGTCATATTCATCCGGTAAAGTAATATGAATTGATAAGCGCTTACCCAAGTAAACGTTTGGTAAACGATACCTTAATCTCTTTCATTATATTGTGGTCCTCATCATCAATGATAACTGACATTATCCAAGACATATGTGTCTCCATGATTACATGTTTTTCTTGGTTAAAATTCATCTAAAACATCATAAATCAATCACATTAAAATATAAATTCAATAATTATTTATATATAAATATGGAGCAGTAAAAAAAACTATATATTTTTTGGATGAATTAGGCTAGAACATGGGCAAGTTGTGTACCCTAAGCTACTTCCATGCATCCTCAGGCTGGCATAGATGCCAACGTACAATGTACATTAATAATATACATTCATTTCATATATATATCACGTCACTGATCACATCAGCATGGTAACCGGTTAATACTTCAACTTGTTATCTATGTATTTAAATGTTTAAAATTTACATTTTAGATATTAAAATAAAAGTTTTGAAAGTATATTATCCAAAATAGAAATCAAGTTAAATTATTTTATTTAAATAAACTTAAAAGAACGGAAAATAAAATAGAAAAAAGTGGTTAGAAAAACATATAAATACTCCCTTGGGATCTACAAATAATTGAATAGTGATGAATGATGATTTTGAGAGCAAGAAATGAATGAGAAAGATAGATCCAGATCTACAAATTATTTGCCTTTGACTCATTCAGTGCCACTTTAGAAATGGGGAAGACCACTAAATGGATCAAGAATTTGTTGGCCGGAAAGAAAGACAAAACCACCCATCAACCACCACTCGCCACCCACCAGAACACACCATCCCCCTTCCCCACCACTCCCAAGGAGAAGCGTAGATGGAGTTTCCGGCGATCATCCGCCACCACTCCCAACTCCACTCACATTACATCCGGTCCTCCCCCCTCCTTGCCACCCGAGACTTTGAAAAACAACAACCATGCCTCCTCAATGGTGCCGAAAACACAAGTGGACACAAACGCCATGATGAGTCTCACCACCACCACCACCACTACTACCGCCACTGATGCCACCATTGTTGTCCAAGAGGCTGCCGCTGCCATAAAGATTCAATCGGTTTTTCGCTCTTACTTGGCAAGAAAAGCTCTATCTGCATTGAAAGGACTAGTGAAGCTTCAAGCGTTGGTTAGGGGTCACCTCGTGCGGAAACAGGCGGCCGAGACTCTGCGGTGCATGCAAGCGCTAGTGACGGTTCAAGCCCGAGCTCGAGCTCACCGAAGTCGAACACAAGACCATAGATTTCATCAGGGTGTCTATAATCAAGAATTCATCGAAGAAAACATCAAGATTGTAGAAATGGATATCAGTCATCCAGAACGATCGTCATACGCTTCTCCCGAGCCTTCGAAAACGAACCATCTCAACTTTTCTCAAACTACACCATCATACTACTCAAAACCTAACCATTCTCGACCACAATCTACTTATTCTGTAGCTGACTATATCGAAACACTCGACGATTTTGGGGGGTGTCCAAGTTATATGGCCAACACCAAGTCCTCAAGGGCAAAAGTACGATCCCATAGCGCTCCTAAGCAGCGACCTGCGAATCTACCTATGGCTCACGAGAGACATTCTTATAGTTGTACTAAGAGGAGACCATCTATTGAAGGAAGGAACATGCCACGAGCTGTCAGGATGCAACGATCATCGTCTCATGTTGGTTCGGGTGCTGAAACGAACCACTATCCATGGTCAATCAAGCTCGACAGGTCAACTGTTTCTCTGATGGAAAGCGAATGTGGGTCCACGAGTACTGTTCTAACCAACGGCGGCAATTACTCCAAATCGGTGGTTGGATATGGGTACTGAACAAGTCAGTTGTAGTTAATCCAAGTAGAATCATGAAGGTTCAACAATGGAGTTGGACGAGTACTGTTTGGGAGTTAATAGATGTGTATTAGAAGTTGTCTCAACCTTGTTATGAATATTAAATAAATAAACGTCCGTTTGTTTTGTGGAGTTGAATTAGTAATAAGTTAATTCATATGGTTGGTCGGGTTGATATTTAATACATTAAGACATTTTCATAATCTTGAATATGTTATTTTTTATTTATAGTTTTCTTTTCATCAACCATTTGATACAACTTATTCATACTTCTTGCGTATATAAAATTCAGTTAATTTTCTCAATCTACATATATATGTTCATAGTTACTGAACATATATATATAAACGAGTTATATAGAGATGTAAATAGATTGTAAATATGTGTCTATGATAGTGTAATTGTCTAATGTATATATTAATATAAATTCAACAATCATATTAAACTCAATAAATAAAAGGATATCAGGTTCATCCGGTTAGGTTCGGTTCAAATAATAGTACTCCGATATCAACCTAATAGTTACGGTTTAAAAATTTTATAACTCGATTAAATATCGAGTTGCTTTGAGTTAAGTTATTTCACATTGAATCGGGTTGATCGAGTTGTTCGGGTTTTAGTGTATTTAGGATAAAGTATATTTACAAATGGTCCCACGTGCGCTGTCGTGTATTATCCAGGAGCACACAAAATCAAACCCACATCATCAACACCCTTTTTCCCCTGTCCTCCTTCCGATCATGTACCGTCGCCACCATGGGCTGCCGCTGCTATACAACCACCGCCACACTCCCTCCTCAACCTCCGCCTTCCACCCTTCTCACCAAACTCCACCTCCACCGCCGCTCTCTTCTCTTTCTCTCCACCGCCACCACTTCTCTCTCTCTCCCTTCCCTCTCCACCGCCTCACCGCAGCAAAAACAACCCGACACCACCATTACTGACCGCATCTTCATGGACTTCAGCATCTGCCCTAGCTACTTCCAAAACAGAACCCTCGGATCTGACCTCGCTCTCTGTCCCGATGCAGAACCCGTCGGCCGGATTGTTCTTGGCCTCTACGGCAACCTCGTCCCCATCACCGTTTCCAATTTTAAGTCCATGTGCACCGGTGGATCCGGGTACTATAAAGGAACACTAATACAGAAGATATTTCCGGGTCAGTTTTTCATGGCGGGTCGGCAGGGGCGGAGAGATAAAGGAGAAGTGAAGCCGCCGGTGGGTTTGGTTAGGAATACGGAGAGTATTGATCCTAAAGCTTTCCAATTAGGGCACTCGAAGGGCGGCGTTCTGTCGTTGTGTTTATCGGAAAACGATGATGATGATGATATTAAACTTGATCCAAATTACCATAATGTGGAGTTCATGATCACCACAGGTCCAGGTCCTTGCCCTGATCTTGATGGAAGAAATATCGTTTTTGGTTCTGTTCTTGAAGGTAACTTTAATTTCTTTTGTGAATAATTCGTTTTTGGAATTGAAATTGAAGCTCATTTCGTTAATTCCAAGTTCTAAGCCATGGAAAAATATATATCTGACCATGGAATTGGAATTGGAACTGGAATTTCGATTGATTTAGTTCAAATTCCCAACTGGGGTTGTTTCATGTCGAATTCCAACCATGGAATTGAAGTTAGATCTGATAACCACATATGCAATACATAGATTCAATTGGGTTCTTTTTTCTGGAATGCATATCTTGAGCGAGCTCACTTTGGCACCATGATTAGGGTTTGTAATGTGTGAAGTCGATTACAATCCAATTTCATTTTACACAAGGCCTATATAACAACAATATAGGAGGAAAAGAAGACTGTAAGTGAGATGAGATTAATGGTTGAATGGAATCTTGCTAAGAAGCAATCTAAGCTGCCGATTATGGACATAAATTGCGTGAGCGTTAACCGAGTTGATAACAGTTAGAGTAAGAGGTTCAATCTGGTTAAATGCTTTCCGAATAATGATGTTTACCAAGACAGTAACATTGACTGAGTTTAGGGGCTGTTTGGTTGTCTTTTCATCCTGTATGACTAAAGCTGTCTGTATGAATTAATCTGTCTATATAGATTGAGAAGGTTTTTGTTTGAGAGAGTTTTTTCATAGATGAAATGAGCATGTTTTTTAATTTGGAATGAAGTTTGGAAAAAACTTGGCTTTCTACATAAAACTCCTAGCTAGAAGCTTACTTAATAAGCTACTTGCTATATCATTAAGCCATTACCAAACAGTCATGTATAGCTGACCGAATAAGCTACTAGTCCTTTAAGCTCATTAAGCTGCTAACAACAACCCTTCTAGGATCTTGACCTGCATATTTGTGGGTCGGAGTTGCTAACATCCCTTCTTACTGGGTAAGCACCTCTTACCCAATAAGAGACGGTCAAATGGTATTAAGCAACCCCTAAAAATGTTTTATTGAGTTATGACTATGAAAGCATAACTTTCTGCAGGTTGACTGAGAGGATAGACATCTTATGCATTCCAATCTCTATGTTGCTGACAATAAACCAAACAAACTCAGTATATCTCACTAGAAAATAGGGTCTGAGAACTGAGGTTGTAATAAGAATCGTAGCAATGATTGTGAATGTGGCAAACTTTAATTCACATATGTGGTTTTCAACTTCCCACAACCATTATCGTGCTTATATGATTATTGATCCTAACACAAAGCTCGGATCTTGGTTTCCTTTTTTGGTTTTTTGAAGGTATGGACGTTGTGGCAAGCATATCTTCGATTCCAACATACAAACCAGGGGAAAGAATCCGACAATACAATGATTTGGCGGAGTTTTTTGGAGACGGAAGAGCTAAAAATGCTCGTGCGATATGGGATCGGCCCCAAAAGACACTTTATATCAGCAACTGTGGAGAGCTGAAAGTCACAAAGCCTACCCTGACCCCTTCACTACCTTAAGTCACTTCTTCAATTCATTGTGGTACACTTCAAAATGCATATCATGCCTTTTTGTTATTAATTCATCATTTATGGTATAAATGTTAAGACTCATATCATAAATTAGCTGTTAGTTTGACTGTTGGCTGGTTGTTAATTGATAAACTATGCTTGGTCAAAACAAGCTAATAAGCTAGATTTAGATGTAAATGGCTTAAAAAGACATGTTGAAATAGCTTATAAGTTGGCTTATAGCTTACGAAATGGAGCTTTTCAATATGTTTTTAAAAATAAGTGAACGTATAGTTATCAAATATGTTATAAGTGATCATTGTATCTAGGGAAAATTGCACCAAAATGGAACCAACTTTCATCTGATTCCTATTTTGGGGAACCAACTTTCAAAATTGTCATTTAGGGGCCTCCTTCAAACTTTTTGTTTATTTAAGGGTCTGGTTGACCTGTTGACCTGTTAATGTTGATATCATCCAGATATTTTGCCAACTAAGATATTCCACGTCATATTAATTTTTTATTTTAAAACTAATATTCCATGTCATGTTAATTTTTTATTTTAAAATTAATATTCCACGTCATATTTTAAATTGCAAAATAATTATAGAAAAATAACTAAAATTAGTTTTTTTCATTCCAAATCTTGTTTTTTTTTTTAAATAAGATATCAAATTGTGAGTAAAGAAGTCCATTTTTGAAAAATTCTTCAATTTGATATCTGATTTTTTTTATAAAAAAACGAGATTTGGAATGAAAAATAGATTTTATTACGATAATTTAAAAAAAAAAAACGAATTTTAGTCATTTTTCTATAATTATTTTGCAATTTTAAATATGACGTGGAATATTAGTTTTAAAATAAAAAATTAATATGACGTAGAATATCTTAGTTGGCAAAAGATCTAGATGATGTCAACATTAACAGGTCAACCAGACCCTTAAATAAACAAAAAGTTTGATAGAGACTCCTAAATGACAACTTTGAAAGTTGGTTTCCCAAAATAGGAATCAGGTGAAAGTCGGTTCCATTTTGGTGCGATTTTCCCTTGTATCTAATTTACAAGAAATAAACAATCAATTAATGGAATGAGATGAAAAAAGCGAAATAAACTAAGTCGACATGGATCGTGAAGGAGGAGCAAATCTTGTAGAGAAACTACGGGGCAACAAATCACCGTCTCCGTCATCACCCCCACCACCGTCGTCATCGAAATTAAGGGCATAACTCTTCTGATCGTATTGAAATTGCGAGTTCTTCTTTGGTTTCTTGCTAAATTTTCTAATGAAGTTCTTCCATCTGGGGCCGGGGCCGGCCACGAACTCTGAAAACTCCTTCAAGCTTTTGAATCTAATCATCAACCAACTCTCTTTCTCTATCGTTTCTCCCGATCTGCGATGGATGAACGCCGTTGTTTCTGATCCATCGCGGTGGTGATTGTCGAAGTAAGAGAAAAGATGGAAACAACCACAACCGTTGCCGGAAACGTCCTCTTCACCGTGGTGGTTGTAGTAGTCTCCGGAGATATCGTTGCCTTCTTGTTCATGCTCCATGATTATTGGTGGTGGTGTGGTGTTGGTTACATTGAAGACTTGTGGTTTTGCCATGTTAAATGGTGTTTTGTGTTTGTGTTTTTGTGTGTGTTTTATAGGGTGTGTGAGTGTGTGTTTTGGGACGGCAAAAACAATCAAAACAACAATGAGTCAAGAAAATATTAGTGGGAAACAACAAAGGTTAGTAGGAGAGCCGGCACATCGTGAAGTAAGGTTATTTTGGTCTCAAATTTAAGGGAAAATTGTATAAAGATGGAACCAATTTTCACCTGATTTTTATTTTGGAGAACCAACTTTCATCTGACTTCTATTTTGGGGAACCAACTTTCACCTGATTCCTATTTTGGGGAACCAACTTTTAAAATCGTCATTTTGGAGAACCAACGTGCACCTGATTCCTATTTTCGGGAACCAACTTGCAAAATAATTATAGAAAAATAAATAAATTTCATTTTTTTTTCAAAAATAAATGCAATAAAATCTATTTTTCATTTCAAATCTCGTTTTTTTTAAATTCAGATATCAAATTGAAGATTTTTTCGAAAAAAATCCAAATTACCACGATAAAAAATATTTTTTTACTAATGCAATAAAAAAATCAATTTAATAGAAAAAAATTAATTGATCCAATAAAAAATAAATATTAAATATCATATTTAAGATTTTTATATCTAACCAATCTGTGTCAATATTAAAGTTTAAATCAAATTTGGAAATTCAACCAAAAGTTTGATAGAGACCCTTAAATTACCTGTTACCTGTTCAACAGATCAACCAAACCCTTAAATAAAAAAAAGTTTGATAGAGACCCTTAAATGACGATTTTAAAAGTTGGTTCCCCAAAATAGGAATAAGGTGAAAGTTGGTTCCATTTTGGTGTAATTTTCCCATTTTTCTATAATTATTTTGCAAGTTGGTTCTCCAAAATAAGAATCAGGTTCCCATTTTTCTATAATTATTTTGCAAGTTGGTTCCCCAAAATAAGAATCAGGTGCACGTTGATTCCCTAAAATAACGATTTTAAAAGTTGGTTCCCCAAAATAAGAATCAGGTGAAAGTTGGTTCCCCAAAATAAGAATCAGGTGAAAGTTGGTTCCCCAAAATGACGATTTTGAAAGTTCGTTTCCCAAAATAGGAATCAGGTAAAAGCTGGTTTCATTTTGGTGTAATTTTCCCAAATTTAATTTCTTGATAAAAGACCAAAATAACCTTAATTTCTGCAGAGGCCCACAGTTGTACAATATATAAAGCCCAAACGGTACGAATTCGGCCCAATGCTTAACTAGGACGGCGTCGTTTCCATTCCCACATTACCATTTTGAATCTTTATACTCGAGTTCCAACGGCTACTTCTCCTGGTGACCGTTCAAGAAACACTCAAAAGTCCAAAATCATTTAACAAAGCCCCATTTTTCATCATCAATCACCAAACACCTCCAACATTTTCCTTCTTATACATATCAGATTCCAAGAACAGACATAAAATCACCCTAGATCTTCAAGAAAAGAGAGATTCATTGCAACAATGGTGTACACATACACACCCAAATACTACTCTTCTCTTCAATATTCAATTGCTTCCATTTGTAAGAACATCCTCCCTTTCTCCTTCAAGAAACGGCGGTTGCCCGCCATTGCTGCAGCTGAACAGAGGCTGTGGAAGCAACAGTCTGATAACCTAAAATGGCAGCAAGAATCTTTCCATCAGATCTTGAATTTGATGGGTCTGTTCAAAGAAGGTATCTTGGCTGAGGCAGAGGTCTCTGCTTTTCGATCACATCTTCTCGACACCCTTATTGCTTTGCCTTTCGATCACGAACAACCTGTCATTCTAAGAGATAAACTCATCTTCTTACAGGTTTGCGCTTAAATTTGATGCTGTTTTTTTAGATATATCACTTGTAAGAGGTTGAATTTTCATCTTTTTGGTGGGTAATTGTAGTTGTATCAAGATTTGAATAACCTGTGATTTGGTTTTTCAGGGTTTTAGAAAATGAATTTTGCATCTTGTTGGTAGATAATTGTAACTGCATCAAGATTTGAACAAGCTATGATTTTTCAGGGTTTTAGAAAAGCTTGATTTCCTGTTCAATTTTGGTGAATTTGCATCTTGTTGGTGGATAATTGTATCAAGATTTGAACAAATTGTGATTTGGGTTTTTTCTGGGTTTCAAGAAAGTTTGACATTCTTTTTCCAATTTTGCCGAATTCGCCCCTTCTTGGTGGATTATCGCAATAGTATCAAGACCAGAACACATTATGATTTTGGTATTTCATGGTCAAAAAAAGTACGATTACTTTCCCAGTTTTGGTAAATTGCATCTTCTTGGTGGTCAAACGTAATAATTTCAAGATTTTCTGGGTCTCAAAACGTTGTTTCTTTTCCATTTTGGTTGCAGGAGTTATTGTATGCAAATTGCATATCAGAAGAGGAGTATCATACATCAAAGACGCCATTGTTGCAGAGACTAGAAGCTCAAGGAATTAAAATTGACCCCAAAGATGTGGTTATTGCTGGACCACAACAAAAGAACCCAAACGACGAATGGTCAGTAATCGATTTGAAAGACTCGGGTTCAAAGAGCAAGTCAAAACAACAAAAGTCGGCCATTAAACAAGTCAAAGGAGCTGCATCAATTTTTGGTCTATCATCATCACACAAAAATGGTAAAGATGAGAATGTTTCTGATATGGGTACTCAGAATCTTGGCATGTCTCAAGAAAACCCCTTTTGGAATTGCAAAATGAAAGAGAAGGATCAAGAAAACCCAACAATTCTTATGTCAGAGAGTGTGATAATCGAGGAGTCACCGAAGAAGGGGAAAAGGAGACCATTTAAGGGACTTGATGGTTTTATGAAATGGAAGAAGAGTGATGATTCAGAGAAAGATACAGTTCCATTATCATTAAGTGATTCGATTAACGAGACTTATTCAGGCCTTGGGGACGGGCCAGATGCTAAGCAAATCAAGAGAAAACTACACAAGGATGGCTCATCGTCTGATTTCTTCGTAGATAAGGTGATATAATCAAAGATCTCCGTTTAGTTTGAATTATATTTCGAGTTCTTGTGTTAATGCATGTGTTTCCTCAGGTTCTAGGAGAGAAAATCAAGAAGGAGCTAATGAAAACCAAAGCAGAACTTCAATTATCGTAAGCAATCTCAATCTTGATGCAATTTCTTGAAAACCCATGATGACAATTGTGCAATCTAACAGATTTATAACTCAAAATGTTTCAGGGATGATCAAATTGAAGTGATTTCGACTAGGCTTCCCATCGACAAAGCTGACCTGAAAAAGTTCTTCGCCAAGTAAGCAAATGTCAAATTTCTTGAAACTTCTTGAAATTTCTTGTTATTTTTCTCCAATTCTTGCTAATTTTGATGGATCTTTAGGAAATGGTGTGATCAATATGGAGAGATTGTGTTGGAAGTGGTAAGAAAAGAGTTTAAGGATCATGTTGATGAGATCAAGAACATGTCAATCAAGAACATGTCAAGTTCTGCTATGAAAAAGGAGCAGAAAACTTCCGAGGAAAAATGGACAACTTTTGATGACGATGATGAGAACTGTCACCCAAATCTTTTTGCCAAACCGGCTCCAGTTCCATCAGGTTTTGGATCCCAGAAAGATGATCACAACGTTCGTGTTTCTAAAAATAGAAACAGTACAGATAGGTTGTTCAAGAACAACCCTTTCTTTGATTATTAGGCCAAGATCTGAACTTGGTTCTTCTAGGATTCATATATAATTATGAATGTTCTTCTATGTACTTTTGTGGATGTTGTGAGGTTTATGTATTGTTGAATTGCTGAGTTCTTCAGTTATTTTCTGGAAATAATCTTGGAAATTTAAGGTTATGTATGGCTTCATTTAAGGTAATCAACTTAAGGTAATCAACTTTAATATTGCAAAGGGTTGCAACAGAAACGCAGTTAAACCCCATTCGCCATTGAACAAAGCAAGGCGCAATTCTATCATACAAATAAAGAACGAAAAATGATGTGCAAAACCATCCAAATTCAAGATCTCTTGAAAATATGTACAAATACCATCAAGCAAGAGCAATTTCTGAGCTTAAGATGGTAGCATCTGCTTCACAAACATCTCCCCGACAAAGTGGACAGATCCTAGAAAAAAATGAATGATGAAAGGAAAGAATTAAAAACCAATTGATGATGTCAGTAACTTCTAATTCAACTTAAAACCAAGGTAGACGATACTGGTAGCTGACAACTTCTTATAGGATTTATAAGGAGCTCACAGAATCTTATTTTCTATCATGAGACATTACAATGAAGGGATGAACCCAAAAAGTGATACCTGTGAACTTCTTTGAGCCATTTATCAACACAAGACATGTGGTACTCATGCTGGCAGGGAAGAACCCGTATTTCATCTCCTTCCTCGTACTCAGCTAAGCAAATCAGACATCTGTTTGATGACGATTTATACAAGGTTTCATTTGGTTATGTAAGTTTTCAGGTAAATAACTAAACTTACAATCGCATCTTTATTTCAAGATTCACACTTGAGTAGTTTACAAGTTCAAACTAGATGTAGATTTGATTCAGTTTTAATATTCAAAACAAATTTATGAAGTTTTAGGTTCGTCCATTATAAGTTCCATAAAACCAAAATCAGCGAAGCTCATCACCAAGAAAACAGAAGAAATACGGAAACCAGAGAGCTTACTGTTCAATATCACTTTCGCTCTTGTGTTTCACTTTGTGATTTTTTACAGGTAAAGAGTCAACAACCGAGTCTGGAGCCGGAAGTGACACCATAGTTAACGGAAGTGACAAGGGATGCCTTTGAATCTCATCCAATACCTGCAGTAGGAATTACGACATTAGCCCACTTCTAGTTTTGATTTATAATCAAAAATGCAAATGGATTTCGGTATTAACCAAAAATAATATCAGCATTCTTAATACAATAAAAGTTCATAGAAGTTCACAAAGTGTTTAGTCAATTAAAAAAAATTACCTCAAACAATGTCTCAGCAAGCATGATTATACGTGATAAAGTTGCAGGCGGCCTGCCGTTTTCAGCCATCGAGGTTGGATCACAAAAGCATGTGCCATAAGAATGATGCCCTGATGGACATATATGTGTTCGAAGGTGAGATTCATCACTACCACGCCGAATACTTTCCCAAATCTGAAATAAGTCCCATACCAACTTGTTAAAATCTATGACAGACTTTTGCATGTGAACACATCAAGAATTGTGTATGTATATATGTATGTATAAAATTTTGGAAAGCTACCTCAGAACTTGAGGGTTGTCCGAGTTCAGTTATGTTGTGAGTTCGACTTCCCAAATGTCGACCATCACTTCTGGCTCCACCATCTAAAGAATCATCACCAAATTCGTCATCAGAATCATCCGATGAGAATGTAAAAGTTTGTGAATCACTATGCCTTTCACCATTTTCCCTAAAGAATGCATCCCAAATTAGGCTTCTAGTATCCGACCTCAACTCATGAGTGTTGACCTCAGTGGTTGCCCTAGACAAATTGTCAGAAGATACACTCGCCACGTCATGATTAACTGTTTCGTCTCTCTGTTCTTGTTCCCTTTCGGGTAAACTTAATCCAAGATTCGAAGGTATGGTTTCTTGACAGGTGTCATCTACTGATTTGAAACTAAAATTACGGGCTAAAATAACTTCCCTCTCAGGGATTTCATTTTCAATGGGCAAAAGTCGGTCAGAATGTGTAATCCTTTCAACTATGTCGTCATTTCGATCCACAAAACTTATGTCAATTCTACTTTTTGAAGAACTTGGATGGGGAAATACTCTATCTTGATTTGAAGTACTAGCTCCATAACCATTTCTACAATCTAAAATTGTTCCGGGACCAATTTCAGGAGAAGGGTTCTCATTTAGAACCAAATTGCTGTCCAAAAAAACTTGACTTATGCTTTTGGGGCTGATTGAGCCATGTTCAGCAACCGATGGCAATGCAAATTCTTTTGTTGGCCTTGGGATTTTGGTGGGATTATCTCGATCATGACAATCTTCTATTGGATCATCTTCCATCTATAAAAAAATATGTCAGTTATCAGTTCCTTGTTTCAATATTCACCTGTCTTCACAAGTGAATGATGACTTATCCGAACAAGAAACTCAAGTTACACACAACTCAAAACTCGGGAAACAAAAAATCTTTTCCCTTTCCTTTTATCAGATGATTTCCTGAATTTTGATTCTTCAAGTCGCAATGATCACTTTCAAAACGCACCTTATATCTCCTTCAACTTCAAGAACATAGGGCTTACTTCGATTGGCTTCAAGAAGATAGGGGGCTTACTTCGATTGGCTTCAGGAACGTAACTGTCTCAAACCATTCTGCTTCTAATATTACACGAAAAGCTTTTCTATTCGAATCTATCATAAGTATTGAATAGTTTACCAAATGCCAAGTGAAAATCATATTAGAAAACACCATCTATGAAGCATGAAAACGCTAGTCATCTCGAAATCCTCATAAAAGCAACACAATTTCAGTCTGTTTATAATGTGTAATGTAACAATGCCATTGTAATTTTCAAGAAGTTTTCTTTAGATTAACCCACAAAATGCAATGAAGAAGGTAAACTGCCTATTTGAATCTTATTTCCCCCATTTTTAACTGATATGTTGTGCAATTAATTCTGCTCATTTCAGCATAAACTTGAAATTCATGAAACTAAACCCTTACAAATTCACAATAAATCTATCAAAATTCCTAAATAGGTAATCACAATCATGCCAAAAAGGGGGCAAATTTCATACCACAACATATCCAGGGGAAAAAGCTAGCATGAACAGAATAAACAAATAACAAACAAACAGAGATACAAAATCTAACAAGCAGAAAGGCCCAATTGATCAAGAATCAGTATTTAATCAAAAAGCCCACAAAAAGGATTGATGAATAACGATGAACACAAAATTGGGTATAGAAATAACTGAGAATTTTAGGATGATACCTCGTTGGGTGATGTAGATGAGGAGGAACCACAGATGAAAATGAAGGAAAGGGTGCGTTTAAGGGTTTTGTTGGGTGGTGGTGGGTGTTTAGAGGTGGTAGAACCCATGGAACCCTCTTGTGTTTCTGTCCTAGGTTGGCATGGAGATGGAGATAGAGATGGAGGGGAGAACGATGATGGAGTTGGAGCCTTGGGTTGAAGGCTCCCATAAAAACCAACGCCAGGATGAGGATACGACCATAAATATATAATAATTGTATTTTAAAGAGGCGACTACATGTTTGATTTTGCTAAAGAAACAATCTTTGTTTTGTTAACTAATCGTCTATGTTTCTTTCCTACCATCAATTACTACAACCACCATTTTATATTTTTTTATATATATAAAGAGAGAAAGAGAGAGAGGGGAAGGTCAAACAACACCACAAGCATACTCTTTTATCATAAACAATCGTGTATGTTTTTTTTTCTCATTTTACGAAAATACAAGAATACTTTTTTACCATAAACAATTATATGTGATGCTATTATTTCAATACATATGATACATATGTGATACTAAATCAGAGATGTGGACAACTTTTGATACGATCTAAGCTATAGGCCAAGTCGTTCTTACACCACTAAGTCCCCTCACATGTACTATCACATGTGATAATGTGTTATTAATGTGATATTATAATCCATCAAGACCATCACATATGATACTAAATCATAGACGCAAATGACCTTTGGTGCGACTACGACATCCATATACCACCAAGTCCCCTCAAGTGTATTATCATATGAGATAAGAATGTCCTTGTATTTTCATAAAATGAAGGTGTTCTCGTTTGAACCTTCATATATATATATATATATATATATATATTATATATTCTATTCTTTTTTGACAAAAATATCATGGATATTATCTTTTAATATATGTGGGTGTTCGAATTAGCATTTGCACATCTCAAATAATGCTATAAAAGCATTTTTAAGGGCTTTTGGTTCGCATGATTTTGAGAAAATGGGAAGAAATTAAAATGATCAATTATGTTGATCAAATTTCATTTAGACGTTTGGTTTACCTATAGAATGAATTGAATTCCACCATATTCCATTATTCATGGATGTGGTAATTCCATCATAATTGAGACCTAATTCAATTCTATTTCATCTCATTTTCTCGAAAAGACAAAAATTATCTTCATCTTCTCTATATATTTGATTTACCCATACTCATATGATCTCCATATGAATCATCGTCGACCACCACCGTTCTGAACCATCATCAACCACCACCAATCTAAACCACCGTCGACCACCACCCGTTCTAAAAGGGGTATTTTGTTCATTTATCATTTATCAATTTCCGTTCCAAAGCTACATTCTACCAACCAAATAGCCAAATTCTAAATCATTTAACATATTCCATTTCAATTTATGCCAACTAAACACACGGTCAAATTTTCTTCCAGTTCCTTTAAAGTCAAATTTCTTTAACATATTTCATTTCTTTAGAAAACATTTTAGATATTAGAGATTTATAAGGTTTTTTAACATCAGTTATGCTAAAGTACATGTTAAAATAGAGAAAAAAATAGTGTAGAAATATCTAAAACTTAATATTAAGAAGAGAGATATATTGTTCTAATTATTTCCATCAATGAGATTGAATTTGATATAACACTTTGTGCTTCATAGACAAAAAAAACACAACTCTAAAATAAAACACCATCATATTTTCATATTTCTTCACACATATCCAAACAAAAGTTTAAAATATATATATATATATATATATATAATCCAAAGAAAATATAAATGAATAAAACCTGATTCAAAAATACATGATCGTCAAGAGCGTTGCTCATCTCAATTAAATAGTAATTAAAAATGTTCAAATGATACCAGGCCTCCATGAAAATGTCAAGATCCATCAGCAACCGATAAAATATGCATCCAACAAAAAGTAGAGTTAGAAGACAACAACGAGATTTACCTGGAAACTCCAAATCGGGAGAAAACCACGAATGGAAAAGACTACAGAAAGAAATCCACTAGTGAAAAATGAAGATTACAAGTCTCTTTTAAAGGACTAGAATCACAGCTATGGTGAGTGTGTATAGTTGAAGATAGAAATGATAGTATGCGTGATTCTAAACATGTTCATATCCTCGGAATTTATCCTACCGGTTTCCTCTATTTTGAAAAACATTCAAAAGGGAAAATGGAGTATAAATTTGATAAAGTCAAAACGGTGAAAATTGTAGCCGACATAGAGGAATCTTCCTAGTAAAGATAATTAGATTTTCACGACTCTATGATTTTAGAAGGGACACAATTTCTTAAAATAGGGAAAATAAAATCTGTTGGAAGTGTTTTCTTATCCACCGATTTTGCGGATAGCTCGGAGTTATCGCATTTGAACAACCATGGTCACAAAGAGGATTTTTATTTCTTTTTAGATTTGAACTTAAAACCTCCGGATATTTTTGACCTTTAAAGATAAAGCTTAAATCAATTAACAAAATCGTTTGTTGGATTATTTGTATTTATTTATTTATACGAAAATTGATATTACGATATAAAAATATAGAAAATTCGTGGAAGTCACCTAACACCAACACATGGACACGTTTTCTTTGACATTTCCTTCCTTATAAAAACTCACCACCTCCCTCACCCACAACTACCACCGCCACAAAACCCAACCCTCCAGATATTTTCCGGCGACATAATTAAGAAGGATGCCTAGGTCACCTCCTCACCACCACCACCACCACCACCCTCCACCACCTCCTGTGGTTCATCACCACCCTCCACCACCTCCAGTCGTCCACCACCCTCATCCACCTCCAGTCGTCCACCACCCACCTCCAGTCGTCCACCACCCACCTCCACCTGTGGTTCACCACCCTCCACCACCACCACATAAGCCACATCCACACAACCACCACCACCACCACTGATCGACAAGATCCGGCGTGTTGGATGCAGATCTACAAACACTGTGTTGTATGTAATATGGTTGCTATGTAATTTTATGATATCCATAGCAGTCTATGTAGTAGGTACCACTTAACCATCTTTAATTCTCGTTTTTGTTTTAGTTTGATGTTAATAATGGTGTTGGTTGTGGATCTGCATATTATATATTATATATATCATCGATCATCTTGTCTGCTTCTGTATATCATCTGCTCTTAATTTGCATGAACCAGTTTCTTGATCATAAAATTACAAGATCCAAAGCATAAAATCAAACACAAACCGGTACTTTAATAATAAAAATATATGATTTAATCGATCTGATATGGGTTTTTGTTCTAATTTAGAAAAAAAACCTTAATGATGGGTGTTTGAGATTGTTTATAAAAATAATTTATTGATTTATTTCTGTATGACACTGATAATAAGTTTTTTGAGTGTTTGGATGAACAATTTGTACTATTAATAAGAAGTTTTTGAAGAACTTAAAACTTTTTTTTACTTATAATAAATTGATAAGTGTTGTTTATAAATCTTGATTTTGTTTATGAAAATTAATCCTTTTTCATATTTTAAGATGTTTAGTCTTTGTAATGGATAAGTACGTAAGCAGAAACATGAGAACTTGAAATTAAAGCATAGAAACAAATGTCGAAAAAGAAAAGGGGAAACGGTTGTCCATTACGTGAGTGACACGTGGATTTAAGTGGTCGACTATATGGGCTCCTTTTGATATTATATTTTTTTATTTTATTTTTATTTGTAGATAAAGATACGAGGATCAGTGGAGCCGTTTATCAAATACTTATTTGGGTAGGTGCTTATCAAGTAATATTATTTTACCAGATAAATATGATAAGGATCAAAAATCTTACCCGGTAAGAACGAGGCAAAGACCGAGAGTCTTACCCGATAAGTGAAGACAATGACTCTTACCACAGTCAGTTCTTACCGGGTAAATTGTTGCATAAAAATCCGTTCTTGTTGATAAAATCTTACCCGATAAGTAAATAATATTTTCATGTTTTCTTTGAAGAAATTAGCACGCCCTATTTTAAAAGGTAAGAGGGTCAAGGATTGAACACCAGACCTTTGATATGGTCGTTACTATTGTACCCTTAGATATACTAAACAAAACGTGTAAACAGTACTAAATCCAAAACTCAAACCGATACGATCAAGCCAAATGCTCAGCGACTTGCACCAAGCATTGATCTTATGTGGGTGCATGATTGTTCATAAATAATTGACACTTATTGTTCTGGGAGTCTATGATAACAAACGTTCCCTCGAAATACATCCCACAATCCCTAAAAAAAACATGTATATGCTTGGTAGGAGTAACTCGTACAAAACCATGCAAGTAACAATATGAAATCAAAGGTCAAGAGGACTATTCTCATCGTGCAATATAACTCTGATGCTTCAAGATCCCATCTATAGCTAACTTGATCATCGAATTAATCCCTGAGTTCTAACCTTTTCTCTTTTTAGTGCCTTATACCAAGTCTAGCTATAGTGATCTAATTCCGTAAGACCCGACATTTTCTTGTGGATTTCTATAATTCGGTACTCATAGCCAGGGGGACCCCTATGGTTCATACGATGGCACAGGCCACCACTTTGTTCCTCTGTTACAGTGTAAAAAGTTTTAGGATTATAAAAGGTACCACAATATTAATATGTTGGGTGCAATCGTATATATTTTGAAGCTACAATGATAACACAAATATTGATATTTTGCATGGTTTTTTCTGCCCTTCTAGGCGTGGGTTCAAATGAATCCTCTTTGTATTATTTTATAGTTTTTATCTTTTTCCGGTTTATGTTTCTCAATTTTTTTTGGTATAAAAGACTAGAACACAAGACTTAGATACAAAAAATAAAGAACTAACCATTAAACCGATAATGATTTTGAAAATAATATCCATATATAATTACGTTTCTTACACTTAAATGGTACCGTCACTTGAAGTATCCTACGTTGATTCGCCTCCGCCCCTTGCCACCTTCGAACCAACCCAACGAACACCTGAGGTTTCCTTATGAGGAATTTGAATGATGTTATGAAGTCATAGGAAATTATTTGATTCTTAAGAATTATATTATCATATGATATGTTTCACGATCACATCTACTTTCTAAAATCTCCTTTAATACAATTATTTGTTTTAAAGTGCAGAAACACATGAGTTAATTTCTTTGAACAGTGTAAGTGTATTTAAAAAGTAGTTTCAATCTATGTGATAACACTAACTTATCAAATAGGTTATATTCTTCTTTGAAATCCAACGTTTTT